ACTCCTTGGACTGCTCAGTCTTGAAAGACTGGGGACAGAGAAAATAAAATACCTGTTCACACTGCCACAGTTGGAGGCAGCAATGTTTCTGAACACCAGTTGCTGGAAACCACTGGAGCTGAGAGGGCTGTTGTGCCCAAATTCTGCTTGCTGGTTTTCCACAGGTTGGCCACTGTGAGAACATGGTGCTGGACGATTCGCCTAATCCAGCAGGCTCTTCTTGTGTATGGACTGAATATAAAAAGGCAGTTGGGTGGAGCTGGCTGAGGTTGGTAGGATGGTGGCCTATTTGCAGGGCCGGCCCACCCATAAGACAAGGTGGGACAACTGCCTCAGGTGGCAGGGTCCACAGGGGCAGTGGATCCTGATGTAGACCTTTCTCCCCACTTTGTCCCTGATGTTGATCTCTGTTTTCCTCCTTCTTCCCTGGCAGGGAGGGGGATGCCATTTTGTGGTTCACCTCAGGTGCCAAAATGTCTTGTGCCAGCCTTGCCTATTTGCCCTAAAGGGTTGGCTGCAGCTGATATTATGATAGGGCTTGTAAGAGCATCATTTAAGCACACAGAGATACAAAACAAGGACCTCTCTGGCAAACTGTGTAAGAGGTCTGGTTCACAATTATGCAGGATCCAGAGTCTGTTCAATAAAATAAAATCATACATTTGGAATGGCAAGATGTTTACATGTCGGAAAGCAAGCCGTGTGCAGGATCAAGTGCAGGGGTCAGCAAACTTTTTCAGCAGGGGGCTGGTCCACTGTCCCTCAGACCTTGTGGGGGGCTGGTCTATATTTTTTTTGGGGGGGGATAACGAATTCCTATGCCCCACAAATAACCCAGAGATACATTTTAAATAAAAGTACACACCCTACTCATGTAAAAACACCAGGCAGGCCCCACAAATAACCCAGAGATGCATTTTAAATAAAAGGACACATTCTACTCAGGTAAAAACACGCTGATTCTCGGACCATCTACGGGCCAGATTTAGAAGGCAATTGGGCCGCATCCAGCCCTGGTCCTTAGGGTGCCTACTACCCCTGATCAAGTGTGTCTCCCAGATAAGATTATTGGGTTGGGTGTGACTTGGTTGCCCACTGAATTATTCTGGCCTAGTTCAAAAGAGGCTCTCTAGACGGCATCCCTTCCAATACCGAATTCTGGTCAATGCTGCCCAGCTGTGAACATTGTCTAGCCTTGCCCTCGTTCGTCAAAACGGGAAAAGAGAGACAAATGATCAAAAGGGCAGGGGCATGAACGACTGAGCTCACGGAAGGCTCACCACGAGGATCATTTAGTCAACGCCCTGAGATTAAGAGTCTCATGCTCTGCCGACTGTGCTATCCCAGAGATGGCTTGTCCGGGAGCGGTAGTAGCCACCGTGTGAAAATTTGGCAGCAGCACCACCGTCGTCAACTTTCTGTGTAGAAGAAGAAGTTCTGGGAAGCAGAAGTGGGTTCCCCTCTAAAAGAAGGAACGTCTGGCAGCCGTAGGGTGAACTCGTGCGCGTGCATGTGAGGGGTGGAGAGGGAGAAAGGCGAGGACGAGAGATCAAAGGAAGCAGACAGAGCCTCGAGGTCGAGGTTGATCAGCATCCAGACAGTAGATCTGAAACTCTCCTTCTGTCTCCTCTTCAGCGCTGCTAGCCACGTCCCGTGCTTTTGCCTCCTGCCTGGAAGCCTCCCCCCCCCGCCCCGCCCTCTCTGCTTCGGAGTTGGCCCGCCCGTTGCCACTGGAGGGATGTGCTGCTCGCTGGCCTTTGAGCGCTGCCCTTTAGCTGCTCCGTGAGTTGCCTGGCAATGAGGCGCTTGCGGCTCCGCCCATCAATCGGCATCTCTAGGCGGTTGGGCTTTCCCCCCTCTGGGCACGCTGGGCTCGAGATCGCCACGAGGGCTGATGGTGTTCCCATCGCTGGATCCGGACATCGCTTTTCCATTCCTTGCATGCCAGCATTGCGGCCTGCCTTTTGGTTCCTTGCTATTCCTTCCTCCTTGGCTTCCTTTAAAGGACTCCTCCTTGAGCCTCACGTCAACGCGAGGGTTCAGCATCCGCAGCATATGCCTGGTGGAAGGTTGTGATGTGGGAGAGGAGGCTCCTGAACATGCACAGAGCGCGTGTTGTTTTCATTCGCTACACACAGAAGGTCGTTAATTAACTCCCAGGTGCATCTGAGAAAAGGCTATTTCGGGTCCGGTTACAGTCCTGCATTTTTCAACACCCGGAGAAGTCACCGGTTCCCTCATCCCTCCTCAAAGGGATTCTAAAGCAGGGGTAGGTTGGTCGGGATCTCTTGGGGACCTGCAGTGGATCGCCAAGGGTTTCTGACTCCCTTTTATTAGCAATATCAACAAAATGGCTTCTCCCACCTACATAAGGCTGTTGAAAGAAAGCTAGCCAGGGCAGGCGTAGAATTTTGTGCAAAAGAACGGTGATCTCAGTTCAGTTCTGGTACTGAGAGCAATTTCCTGGGCTCGGAATGTGTTCAGAATTCTAAAAGACCTGGCTCTGGTTGGTAAGATCATGGGCTTCTAGTGAAAATCAAAGATCTGACAAGCCTAAGTCTGCCCTCCTCTGAAAGTACAGAACGGGTGTGCCCGAGAGAGGCTTGAGACGGGGACGCAGTATGTACTCCGCCATCTCAAACGGAAACCCCCTGTTCTTTCTGCTGCATCGGAGTTACTCTCCTTTGAGTTAAGGCAGGTGCAGAGAACCTTCGGCGCTCCAGGTGAAGCTCCCATCAGCCTCAGAAAGCAAGGCCTATAACCAGGGATGAAGGGAGTTCATGAACATATGGAGGGCCAAAGGCCCCCCACTTCTGATTTAAGGCAAAGGTAGTCAGCAGAGTGCCGTCCATGTGTCTTTGGACCACAGTGCCCCTGCCAAGGTAGCCCATGGTCAGGGATGATGGGAGTTGTACTTCAACAGCACTTGGAGGCACAACGTGGGCAATCTCTGATTTAAGGCACACCCCATGACACCAGAACCATCAAAAAAGCATTGTTGGATGCTAGCAAGCCTAGTTCCAGAGGGAATCTTCTGTATGCTATAATATGGATGGACCCTCAGCTCCCAAACTGCCTGGGAGTATCACTCATGCTTCTGAATGGCACACCACCTGGCTTATTCTGCTGTCACCACGTTGATTTGAAAGATGGAAAGGAAATCACCACCAGAGAAGGGAAGAAGGGGACGTCGCTGGTTACCTTCAGCCAAAGAAAGAGCTGCATTGAGTCAGATTTGCATTGTATGGCTAGCCTCCCGCCCCCGACGTGGATAGCTTTACCACCCAGTGGTCATAGACAGCCACTCCATATGCTCATCTGAGGAAGCTCGTCCCGATTGCTCTAAAGGGCAAAGAGCAACTCGCATTGCAAATCTTCAACTCTGTCCTTTGCCTAGGAGGGCGGGGCGTGGAGAGGCGAGCTGGGCTATCAAAGCATCAACTCCTCTTCGCCCTCCTTTGCGGCCCTGGAATGACAGCTGCTACCCCACCCCCTTCGGTGCAACACCATTTCCTTACTTTTGAGTTGAGGCACCCAGTGCAAAGTCAGATGACGTCACTGAGCTGGGATTGTCCCTTAATAATAATTTAAACAAGAATTTTCACGTAGCGATGTTCTCCCGAAGGAGGAGTGGCGTGCAGTCCTCATCCCCCAGACCCCAGTGACAAAATTATTGTTTTTAGAGGCGTGGGAGGTTTTCATGGACGTTTCTTGCTTTCCCATCCCTTTACCTTGTTGAGAAATATTTGATTCCTCAACTGCACACGTGGAAATGTATGCAAGTCACCAAGGCAAAACAGAACAACTCCCCGCCCCATCTTACGCCTACGACTCCGATTTTTCCCCTTTAATGCTTTTTAAACAGGACAAATCAAACGCTCTTCAATTACCTTTAAGCGAGCGATTAATAATTAGTCTGCCTTAGTATCTCCTAATAGGGCATTTTGCATATTATTGATTGACTCTTCGCTTGCGCTGTATGAAGTGCGGCCAACTATCACTGCGGGAATCATACCTGACAGAGAATCAAAAGTTACAATCCTCTTTACAGAAATATAAAACGATCCTTATCAAGAGGCAATTAACTGGGCTGTTGTTGTTTTCTCTCTCTCTCTCTCTTTCTCCATTGGATCGGTTTTCCTCTAAAGTCCAACCCTTCCAGTCCAGTCTACAAGCACATCTACACAACCGAACACACGTTTTATCAGTGGAATAATTCATCCAGAATAATAGCTACCTCTGGTTTGGGGGGTTTTCTTTCTTTCTTTTTTTACAGTCACTAACAAGGGCCGGGATCTCCATTCAGAATCTTCATGATACTGAAAAGGCAGAAAATGTTTCCCCCTTTAGTCATTTTAGTCATGTGTGCAATAAAAGGGGAAGGGGGGAAGGGCGTTGTGGGGGGGAGAGAGAGAGCTAGCGTGCATTCAGAGGAATCTAAGCTGCACTAAGGAATCTTTCCTGTGCAACTTCCAAGTAGAAAGGTGTAGTCTGAGTCGCCTTTCTGACTGGCCAAGGGATTCTCGTTCTCTAGGACTTACAACCGTGAGTCCCCAGATGACTACTCTACCTTAAAACTCTCTCTCTCCCCCCCCCCCACGTTTGTGATTAAGGAGAAACTGAATTCCTTGCTGTGTTTAAACACCCAATTGGAGCCCAGAGATTTTCTGCGGGTCAGGTTCCTGGCCGGGTTTCAATTTGGGGTGAGTTGTGGACAGTAGCATGGGGTCTACATAGCAGAGCTGAAAATTGTTAGCACAAAACTCCCCAACTAGCGGAGTAGAACAGAAAGAACAGAACTTCAGATCATAAGCAAGCGTGAGTGTGTTGGGGGGGGGTGTAATATGCTAAGCGCGGCCACACACACACATGCGCGCGCATACATACAGTGCTAAATAAACATTTAGTGTCCTAATGCTAAGCCTCCGGGAATGCTTGTAAAGTTCCCTACCTGCCTCTAAAACGAGCGACCAATTCGTCTGCCATACTTCTTTCTTTCTTTCTTTCTTTCTTTCTTTCTTTCTTTCTTTCTTTCTTTCTTGCATTTTTTCATTTTTTATTTTTCGCAATAGCCTTGCCTGGGAGGACTCGAAGGCTGACCTGCAGAGGGCAATCGTTGGACACGGATGATAACAAAGGCAGCTGGGAAGATTAGGCTCAGGCACGTGGCTGTGACCCAGGACTGCTGCGTAGGTAGGCAGCGGTGCTTAATTAATGGATATTGAAACAAAAGATGTGTGTGTGTGTGTGTGTGTGTGTGTGTGTGTGTTTGTCCTTAGGCTACATTTTCCAAGGCTAATCTAATTCATAACCGTTAGGTTTGTTCTAAAGAGATTAACCCAAACTTTCAAGAGACAGGTCCAGTTAACTCTAGAATTATCCTAAACGGTTAATTGTTTACTGGAATATTTAAAGTCGGTCATTTAGATGCACCCCCCTCTTCTTTTTTTAGTTCTCTGCTAATCAAATAGGGAGGAGTGGGAACTGACAAGAATCTTAATTGCTTCAGCCATTGGCAAGAGAAACGTGTGGGCTTTATATAGGGACGGGACACCCCCCCTCCCGTCTCCACTCCCTCCCCCTTCCAAAGCAAGCAGTGAACCACGTCCCAATTCCTGGTAATAAATTTGCTGTTTGCTTCCTATCTGGCTATTGTCTCCGCTTTTAGAGCGGTTCACCTTTCCGTTTCAGCACCAGGTATGTGGACAGCGACACGCTAATTTGCATATCATGCTCAACTCCCTTCTGCCGTCCGCTTTAAAAAAAAACGCGTTCACACGAAAATAATATTCGCGCTCCGTGTTTGTTTGTTTGCTTATTTGTTTTTTAAAAGACTCTTTTGGCTAACTTGTTTTTTGAGCTGCTGTAGTGTAACCTGCTCCCACCCCATTAACGGCGTATTCATTAGAATAGAGGAGAGGAAACAGTGTGTATTCCTTCCAACTTTTTCTGCATCCTTTATATATTTTAACAACTAGCCCAAACGGACTGGAAGCTGCAAGGAAATTTGGTGGTGGCAGACTGTGTAAATGCTGTTCTAAACACACACACACACACACACACACACACACTGGGTCTCCCCCTCCCTCCCCTGTCTAAGCCTTAGGAAGAACGGGTGGGAAACCAATATTTAATCAGTCCATGTCCAAATTTCAGTGATCGGAAATGTCTTTCTCAAAAATAATCCCCACTGGGAGGTTGAGTGGGGGGAAAGGTCCCGGGGTTTGCTGGCAAGAAAGCGACTTTGCGTCAATCCTGATGAAATTAGCAGCGCTGAGATTTTAAGAGACATTATCTGGGTGTGCTTTGAGCGCAAGTGAGATGGTATAGATTAAACACACACACACACACACACACACACACACATCATGAAAAGAAGGGCGCCTAACTTCTTCGAAAGGAGCAAGACCCTGTAACAACCATACGTTCGAGACCGTTACAGTCCCTAAAGAATTGATATACATATCTATTCTTACAATGCAACGTGCGGGGCTTGCTAGCTCTGGTTCAAGAGCATACATAAACACACACACACACACACACACACACACACACCGCCCTGCTAAACGGTTCTGCTCGACACATGTTTGTTATCAGAGGGAAAGGCTGGGAACACAGAGCCATTTTTCTCAGCAGCTTTCCCCCCCCCCTTCCCCCCTTTTGGACTGCACGTTTACCATCATACCACCCAGCATCGGTCCTTTCCCAATAGGAAGTCATGAATATGAGCTGTATGAAGCCTGCACGTCAGATCTTCCTCAATTAATCCACCATTAGCATGCTTGGGATCTGGTGCTTGATGGCTTAACAGAAGCTTCGGTGGCTGCTGTATGTGCTTGGCCATCTCCAATTAAGCTCTGCTCAAAATGAACTCGGCAAGACCAGCCTTTCCTGAGCTGTCAGTGACTCCCGTTTTTCCTTATTTTAACGTTTGTGTGTAGTGGCAGGCGACAGATGGTGTAGATCAGATCGATTTGATTGCATTAGGCGATTTTTTTCCTCTCTCTTCTCTCTCTCCTTCTCCCTCCTCTTCTCTCTCTCTCTCTCTCTCTCTCTCTCTCCCTCCCTCCCTCCCTCCTCCCTCCCACCCCCACCATCACTTCTTTTCTGGAAGCTCGCAGCATCTGAAAGGCGATCGTCGGGGACTTGGAGAACACCAGCATCCGTGAGGTGGGAAGGCAGCGGAGCACACAAAGCCAGCCAGAGGCGCCGAGGTCCCTTTCCCAGGGCTTGTTAACACTATAATCCGGCACCAGGAGGGAAGGCGAGAGTGCTGAGCGGGGAGGGGGGGCAGCTTTCCGCTGCCCAGAGCTTCTTTCCCTAGCTCATCAGATGCCTCCCTGGGTTTTACACACAGTTGGAGTTCGGCTCGAAACCAGGATTTAAAGGGTAAGCGCTTCAATAGAGGTGGATTTCTGGGAGTTGCATGGGGAGGAAGTGGCGAGGAGTGACTCTCTCGGCTCTGGAAAAGGAGGCAGCACTTTAATCAAGATAAATATTTCTCTGATTAACCCCCTGCGTGCACTTGCACCTTATCCTGCCTGGTCCACAGTTCATATAAGTCATCGCATCCCTGGCTTATATTGGCGGCGTTTCTCTTCTTCTTGGCAATCCCTGAACTGCTCTAAAGCTTTATTCTCAATTGCTGGCAATGGCTTGCTCATCTCTTCCTAGCCCCTCACCCTCCCACCCACCCCAAATCAACACAGAGAAATATTTGACATTTTAAGCGGAGCCTTCCTTGCCTGTTATTCTGATCGGTGGCTTTGGGAGGGCTCAATCCCTCCAGTTATTACGGTAGGGAGGGAGGAAGATTCTAATCAACATGGCTTTCCATGAACAAAGGTAGTTAATGCTGATGCTGAGCGTCGCTCCGGGCTCCAGAAGCTGCAAAAGGTATCGAAGGAGCAACAAAGCGCCAGAGATGGCACTGGGGTTTGTGGTGTGGCATGGCGTGTTTGTGTATGTCTGTGTATGTGAGAGAGAGCGTTGAGGGGTGGGGTGGCGATGGAGCCGACAGTTTAAGGAGGTTTGAATAGAATATGCGCCCAGAGGCAAGCGATCTGGTAGGAAATGGTGTTCTCGTTCAGTCCCCGTGCCCTGCCTGAAGGAGGGACCGCTGTTTGTTGGCTTAGGGCTCACCAGAGCTCTCTCGCTGGTGCAGCGGGGAGGGATTCCCCAAGGACGGAGCTGTCCACTAGCCCCGGTGCTGAACTGCCTTCGACCATTTTGGTAGGTGCTATCCAGCAAGGAGGGCCGTGCACAGTAATCACTGCATTGAAGCGGTCAACGGGCGCGACTGATGGAGCAAGTTTGGAAATGGGCGCTTGATACTCCGGGGTGGGGGTGGTGAGTTGGGGCTGATTTCTCAGCCCGGGGAGGAAAATCGCCAAAGTGCATTTTGTTATGCGGGCTTCTGTGTTTGGGGGTAATAATAGTAATGCTACTATTGGAAAAGTTTGGCTATCAACCCTCAGCCTTTCCCCTACCACGAGTTTTTGGCACGAGGGGATTCTCGGACACGTTGTTTTCGGAATGAAGGCGAGAGAGATGAGGTGCCTCAAACTGGTGGCGAGTTGACTTTCGCCAAGCGGCTTTTCTGGCTGAGAGTTCAGTAGGAGGACAGACTGCCCCCGTCTCTTTTCCTCCCCTGCCCGAGCTCTCTGTAGTGTGTCAATCTTCAATTGTGCACAGCGGAGGGAAAGGAATCTCTGTGTGTGCTGCTGCTGGTGTTTCTTTTATAGCTGTTATTCTCGTAGTGCAGCCTCAGCCTTCTGCCTTCAGGAGGGTGAGAAACGTAGCTGAAAACCGAAGAGAATGCGTGGAAGTTGCATGTGTCATTATTTTTTAATGATTGAAATTATTATCTGTATCGTGTAAGTAGTTTGGGATGTTGTTGGTGGGTGTCTATATGCATTTTTTTAAAAAAGAAAGAAGCAGTTATTCTTTCTAGGTCTTTGTAATGATCTGGTATTAAAGCACGAGCTGGTCCTGAAGGAGGAAATCTGGCAAGAATAAACGCAAACATCTTGTGTGAATGTCACTTGCAATCTGATATACAAGCTGGTCAGTTACAGAGCTCTCTAGCTAGACAGATGCCTTACAATGAGTCTTGGTGCGAGGAAGAGTGCAGCACCCACCCACACCCAGTCTTCTAGCGGCGCTTCTTTGTATTTTGCAGCCAAGGCGGAACAAAACCATCCCAAACTTACTGTGCGCTGGGATTTTTTTTTAAAAAAAATATTTTATTTTATTCTGTTTGCTCCTTTAGAGGAAACCGAATCCTAAACCCTTATCCTCAGGGGCAACCGCTGCAGGTTCGACAAACAAAGACCTCCTTTACCGCCCCCACTCTGGCTCTTGATTGTAGAGTGTTCATTCACACGTTGTGTCTGACTATACCAGCATTGCAGGATGAGAAAACTTTTTTTTGTAAAAAAGAAATGTGAATGGATCCGTACAAATGTACATAGGGACGGAGTGAGAAGGGAAGAAACAGGGGAACTCGGTTAAGCGCTTTCTCTTTGGAGACATGCTGGCCAGACCGTAAGGCGTAGAGTGTATCCCTAGGATGTGCTATCACGCGTTTATCAGGCGATCTCAAAAACGCTGCTTTAAGAAAACGTCAAGCCCTCGCCACTGAGACCCAGCTCTTTAGGGGCACGCGGGAAAGGAAAACGGATGGTTTCTATTTTATCTTATATTACTGCGCTCGGAAGGGACTTTTAGCCTTAGGTTATACAGCATGCGAGAGGCCTGGAGCGGAGAGGCACTTGCTTCTCTCCGACAGCTCCGGGGGCGCCTTCTAGCAGCTGACAACGGCGGAGAGAGTATGTTTTTTGTTTATTTTCCCCCGCGAGCCGGGACCTCTCCAAGCGCCTCGCTGAAATTCTCCCGGGCGTGCGCGGTTTTCTTGATCAGATTTCCACCCATGCGCTCTTTCTCACCTTGCTAGTCTAAGCAAACAGCTCGGTAAGACTTGTGTGCTTAACTGTGCGTCTCTTCTCCAGAAATCGCGTCGGCTGCCATGAAGAGCCGTTCAGCGCAACCCCAGGGAGAACTCGAGAGAGGGGAAAGGATGGCAGACAAGCCCAGAAGAAGAAGCTGGAAGCTGGCCAGGTAACGCTGGGCGGACGGAGCAATGAATGCATGCAGGGATGCATGGATGGATGGATGGATGGATGGATGGATGGATGGATAGACGGAGCAGTGAATGCGTATAACGGTGCTTTGGAGAGGTGCATGCGGCCGGCTTCCTGGGTGCACAGTCTTTGCATGCAGCCGATGCGTCTGTAACGCGCGCCTACGTCTTTTATGCGGATAGACGGTCTGTGGGGTTTGATAAGAACATGTGTGTGTGTGTTGTGTGACACGCAAGCAGGCTGGATTGTCAGCTCGGTTTATTTATGTTTGCTGACGGGGTATCCAAGCACGTCTGGGGCATTCGTGGACGGGGGCTGTGCAGCGCCCAGGTGGATCCAGATCAGCCCCGTCCACGCGTCGCGTGGGAATAGGGCTGCCTCCTCGGAGGAGCCACGCATCTGAACGTGGCGTGGCAAGGCTCGTGTCTTGATGTGGCCGCATGCTTGCGGGGTGCATGCGTGTGTGTGTGCCTGTGGCCCTCGCCTGCCTGCCTGCCTGCGCCTTTGGACCTGGGCATCTGCCCTGCTGCCAATTGCTCTCGGGAGTTGCCCTCGCTCCAGTCCTTCATGGCTGCCTCTTCTCCTTTGCCTTGCCAGGGCCCCGGAGTCCAGCAGCCCTGCGTGGATTTGGGATCATCGCTCGCTGGGCGACTCTCTCTTGGATTCTCCTCCTCCCGTTCCTCTGGGCCACCGGACGTACAGTTGTGGATTTATTGTCGCGGTGCGTGCAGCTCCAGCCTCCTCTTCGCCTCCTCTTCCACCACCACCGGCGCCAGCACCACCACCGGCTTTCTGACTCTCTTCGGTGACGGGTATTCTTGGGTGGATAATACGGATTACGTTGTTATTGCTTAAGAATACGCGTAGTCGAGGAGAGTACTCGCGGCAGGCGGGTGGGCAGCGACCACCCACCCCGGTTGGCTCCTTAAACGGCTCTAGTTGCCAAGGTAGCGCATCATTTTTTAAACATATATATTTAAATAATAATCATTATTTCATTTTGCTCTCGTACTTCCCTTTTCTCGTACCTCGCAATCTCCGGCTGCACCAGACCTCTCCACCCCTTCAACCGGGGCGGGGTTGCCTCACTGCAGCTTCCCACTCGGATACTGCGGAGATGGGAGGCAGGGAGGGAGGGGGGCGTCTGTGGAGTCCTGGCGTCTGCGCTCCGGCTCCGGACGTCCTCTTTCTTAATGCGGATTATTGACTCCCCCACTGTGTTACTTCTGATCCACTCCCAACCGGAGTGGAATTGGTCCGCCCGGGTGCCAGACGCGCAAGCGGGGATTCTGATCCGCCTTAAGCCATTGGGAGGGTGGAGCCGGGGCACGTATGGATGGAAGGAAGGGGTGGGGAGGTTGGGGTTGGTAGAGTGGCGGCGGTGGTTTGTCAGGATGGAAAGAAGTGGCTTTGTGTGTTTGCCCAAAGGTGGAGTTGGGAGTAAATCTCAAGGAGGACTAGCGGATTGGGTGTTCAAATACAATTTGTACATTGGTATCCAGCTTTGCTTCCCGCTTGTGCCTGGCCCGGTTCTATTGCGTTTTTGGACAAGGGCTGCGTGCTCGGTGGGAACAAAACAAAACTTGAGGGAGTAGCGACAGGTTTAATTCGGTTTAGCCCTGGACGCTTGGTTTCTCGCTGGAGGGAGGTGGGGTAGCAGTGTCACCCGTTCCTTCTCTCTTGTCTCTTGCGATGCGGTCCTAAACACGTTGACTCGGATGTCAACCCCATTTAACGCGTGTTTACTGAGAAGCAAATCCGACCTTATTCATTAGGCCAACTGGCAGCCAACTGTCCACAGAGGGACAGCCTTAGTCTCTAGCGATCCTAATGCATGGGATTACAGCTCGATCTTTGAACTGTTTTCTTGGAAGTCTGGCCGAGGTCCTAGACTCGAAAGAGCCCTTTAAAACCGGCATAGGATCCGGCTGCGCATCTCACTGAGTTCTGTATGTGTATAAAACTGCAGCCTTAGAGAGTTGCTTCAACCCTTGCTACTAGCTACCTTGGTCAGCTCCACGGAACAGGGATGAAGAAGACCCAAGCTTTCCACAATAGGAATTATATATATAGTGTCATTTTTATACACTTCACGCGCACACAATCCGGAGTTTCAGTTTCTTTAGGATAGTAGGGTGCGCAACATTGCGGCATTTTGATCAAGAAGTCCTCCCGCAGTGCCTCTGTGTAGACAGGCCGGGGCAGAGATTCTTTTGGACTTCCCACGCCGTGGTTCTGTAGGAAGGCTTCGGTGACCCTAATGAGTGCCGGACTGATGCAATAGGGAGCCGCTTCCCGCATATATCTCTCTATATATAATAATATATAATAATTACAATTATTATTATTACTTTGCACCCAAGGCCGAGGCAGTAGGGAGAAATTTCCCCAAAGTAGGGCATGTGGCCTGCCCTATTGTAAAAGAGGAGGATCTGGGTCCATCGCTTTCCTGCAGGAAAAAAAGGAAGCAGAGTCTGGGACGAGCTACCACACCCTGGGTTAGCATTTTACCACCCACTCACCCACCCTCCACTAGCGACTACCATTTTAAATCACAGCTCTGGACTCGCTTCTCTTATAACGCGGGAGAGGAACGTGATTATCTAACCAGAGAGAGATACAGACTCGAAGAAAGAGCGTCTGCTCTCCTTTCAGTTCTATGGTCAAAATACAATCCAGTCCCTAGTGATGTCCGTTTGGTCTCCCTCTCTTTTGACGTAACTTATCTTGTGGGGATGACGATTCCCCCATAAGTAATTCGGGGGAGTCCAATTTGGGAGAGGGAGTAATTAGTCCAGAGCAATAGGAATATGCCCTGGTGTGGTTGAGAAAGTGGGGGTTGTTTATTTGTTCCAGATCCCTTTGTCCGCAATTCTTCGCCCCAGCAGCTATTAAATTTAACTCGTGGTCTGGCAATAGAAAATATACTACGTAGTATGGTGGTTGTGTCAGTGTGGAGAGGCTTAAGTGGCACATTCACCTCTGGGTTCAATCCTGTGCCTTGCTTGCTTCCCACATCTGATCCATAATTTGCTGGTTGTTCTTCTCTCATTGTGGGACAACCAACTGGAGTAGAACAACGCCGTCGAAGGGACTCCTCGCCTAAGTTCTTTAGGAGCCACACTAGAGCTCCTGCTGCGCTCTTCCTTTCCTCCCCGGTTCCAAGTAGCCCGTCTCTCTCTACCGCCTGGGTAAATTGCCCTTCTTTCGCAGTCAGTTGTTACTACTGCCAGAAGGCTGCCTTGTCCAAAGCAAACCCCATTGGTGGGGGAGGGGGATATGTAATAAAACCAGGCGACAGCAAGAACGCCCCTCCTCCTCCTCTCCTCTGACCCTTGGGATTCAACGGACGACTGACCCCATTCTAGAAGACTAGCCTAGCCGGGTTTGGCTTTTGCAGCCCAAATACACCAGAGTCTGAGAGCATCCTGAACACTCATTCGGCTGCAATCCTAACCCGGCTTGCCCGGGAGGAAACCCCACTGAATTAAACCGGACTTCGAGTAGCTGTGGTTTTAGCCCGGGACGTTAATGGTGGCCCGTCGTTAAATACGTGGTGCCTTAGATGTGTGTTTGTGTGTGAGCAAAGAGGGAGGACGGGAATGGGCTAAAAGGTCGATCAGTGAGAAACGACCAGGATAAACTTCACAAAAGGATGTCTCTGTCCAAACGTTTTAGTTACTACTGCTAGTATGGGCCTCCTTTCTAATCGTTTCTTGCAGCGAAAGCTGTACTTCTGCATTATTATTATTTTTTAAAAAATCTGTTGTATAATTGCTTAATTCACTCCTCTCCTCTTTATTTGTCCACCTGATCCTTGCGGGGCCATGGGAGGGAAGCCGCTGTTTATTTTAGGCACCCCCTCCGCTTGGAGAAATGATTGGTGGATTTTTGAACTCGCTGATCTGTGTGTGGCGGAGGCTAAGCCAAGGCCCTTCTCCTAAGTCGTCGATTCCTCTGGTCAGTGGTCCTTATGAGTGGGTTGTAGGGAGATAGTGATGGTTCCATAAGTGTGTAGACGGCGCCTTAAGGGTCAGTATTAGCAAAGCAAAACAACTCCCTGCCCCGAAGAATACACATTTCTTTTGTCAGGAGTCAGGAAGGAAAGACCCGGGATTTGAAATCATGAGTGACGGGGAAGAATTGCTTCCATCTTAACAGCATTCTTCTTCCCCATTCCTGGCCACACCCAAGTTTCCTTTCGGCTGTGCCGCATTAGAACAGCAAAAGGAGCAGGAAATTTCTGGATAGGGGTGCGCAACAGAAAAAAGCACCCGCATCGCTTTCAACAGCATGTTTTGGTTTTTTTACAGTGTGGGGGCGAAAATAAAGAGGTTGGTAGGATTTAGGAGATCTTTGTTCTTCTCTAATTAAAAATAAATAAATCACAAATGCCCATTAAAAATCCTGCCCACATGACGAAAGGGGTCAAAGGCGTAACGGAGTTAATCCAAGAAATGGTTAGGTGAAATTCAAAGCGCGTACAAGAATCAGAAAAGTGAGAGTACTCGAAATTTTCAATTTCCCTGCCGAATGTTGGAGCTGCCGAACATTCCAGCAAGAAGGGTGGAGTTGGAGAGGGGCGCGTGGGAGGGGCAGGGCCTCCAATGGGGACTGGCGCTTTCTCTTTCCAGTGGCGCCCCGTTTGGCGAGAGTCCCTCCTATTGCTTAGAGACGCCTTCTTCGATAGGGCGGCTCTTCCCAAATCGTGTGCGCGCGCTCGTGTGTTCCCCTTTCCTCTTCTTCCCTATATTGATCTTACATCTTGATTGATTGAACGACATCCTGCTTATTAACCCCCAGGTCCGCGCAGTGGCAACGTATTCAAAAAGCGCAATTGAAATGTCTGCTAGGCGATTCACACCAAGCAATGGGTGTAAAAGCAGCAGCAACAAACTTGAGTGTCACACCGAAAAAACCTGACGATTGCGTTTTGGTGGCTTACAATTCAAAAGCCTGCACAAAACCACACACAGAAAGAGATTTTTATTTTTTTAAAAGAAGTCAAAGCATGGTCGCCTGTGGAACACAGCCTTGGCAGCCTTGGAGCAACAATTCCTTATTTTCCATTTGTCAGTCCAGAAGCCCAGAGTTATCCTTTATTAGGGTGGCAGGTGAGGAGCAAGGAAGGATGTTACAGTTTCCAAATTCAGATGGGGGAAAGCTTTCAATTGTTCAGGCTGGGCAGCTATGTAGGGTACATACTTAAAAAGCAATGTAGTGGCTCTGGAAAAGAAGGTGTTGGGTGTGTCTTTCTCCTATTTTTTCCTATCCCCAAAGATTTCTGGTCATAATTAAGTCATGGCCATTAGTATAGATGGCTTCTTAAGAGGATTAGACAAATTCATGGATATGGCTGTTAGTCATCATAGCTAAGGGCCACTTCACAATGATGTTATTCCTGCATGGAGATAATTGTGCAGAGGCAAGCGGGCAGAGAGAAACAAGATCATGTTTGCAAAGTGCAGAGCCAATGTTTATCGTAAGAGTTCATTTTATCATAAGAGCAGATTATGGAGGGATATCTCGGGGAAGATGTGTGTAAAGTCCCACTGAGAATGGAACCTCCAGAGCCAAAAGCAGTCTACCTCTGGCTAACTGATGGGTCAAAGTGGAGAAAACAAGAGGAGAACGCTATTGCCATCATAACCGGTTTGTGAGCCTTCCAGCGGCTTGCTGCTGTCAAAGACAGAACGCTGGACTAGATAGGCCTTTGGTAGTTTATTTAGGAATTGTTTATTTAAAATATATATACCTCACTTCAGTTGCAGAGAATCATGAGGTGACTAACAGACAGACAGACAGACAGACAAACAAACAAACAAAAGAACACCAACAAATAAGTTTATTATTATTATTGCTGCCGCTGTTACTACTGCGGTGGCATTATTTATATATTACAACTGTTCTATCAAGGTCCCTGCACTCAAGATGTTTCCAATCTAAA